TATATATATTCCATCAAGACGTGGCGGGCGAGAATTAGAGGGTGCCTTGGGCCGGCCTGACACGGAGCAAGGGACCTTAAGGAGCACACGGCCCTCCGCGAGGACCCCGCCGTGACATAGATGATGAGTGATTACATCCCCAAGCAGAACTTTGGAACCACAGGTGATCATAGGTTGTGGAACGCAGGCCCAACTTGTCTAGAGGGGCACTCAGAAATTGAGGAACCAAGTAGCAGTGGCTGCCTCTGAAAATATGAACTCTAATCCATACCTATGTTAACAAAAACTGCAGGCAAACACAATATATAGTCATCAGTTTTATATCTTAATGATCTGAGACCTGAGCCTGACCTGAATTCCAAAGGGGGAAAGGATCTTAAAGAGCAGTAATGAGAAAAATGCTCTTTTTGTTTATTCCCTATGCAGAAAATATATTCAGCACAGGGAGGAGAACCATCACCAGGTGCAAACTGTGAAATTGCTTGATGCTTCTATTCTTTTACTTATTACCAGTGTCTCCATTTTTTGTTTTCTTCATCAAAGATATTTTTTCGTCATCCTTAAGCCGAGTGGTACTTACTGGGATCAATGAACAAGGAGTACTCTGTCAGTAAGAAACTATTCAGCTAAGGTACCTTCTGACCTGGAAAGATGGTCCTGTGCTTAATGGTGTAGAGTGGGATCTTGGCGGTGTGAATTCAGTTCTGTTTTGCCATAAATACACTGGGACCTTGGGCAAGTAACTCAACAGCCCATTCCCCACAGGAGTTTAACAGTTCTTTTTTCACCCATTGGACAGGACGGTGCGAGATAAATAAATAAATAAATAAATAAATCAGTTAGTGATTCTGATGCAGGGTTGCCAAGCCAAAACAGTATGGGGGTTTTCTTAATCTCATGTCTTTACTAATATGTTTTACATTATGTAAATGGAACCCCACTGCCAGACCCTGGATGAGGGCCATGTTCAAGTTTAGGGGTTTAATACCAAAAATAGTAAAAATATTCAGTTGTCAATAAAAAGTTTGAAGATGCTCATTGTGACAGGATGGGCCCTTGGGAGGGCCATGGCACTTCCTAGGGCCACCCTACTCCTATCCACACTTCTGGTCCTCTATATGAACCCCTCCTTGTTTATCTCACCTGTCACACTTTGATGTTCCTTTGACATTAATAGGAAAGCTGCCTCCGAGTCCTGGAGTGCCCTCACCAGTGCTTTTGCCTAGCCTCATTCTCTGGTCCCCTCGGCCAAGGCTTATTCCGTGTCTCGGCCCCTCGGCATCTGTAGTCCAGGACAAGATTGCTCTCGGTGCAGCCCCTCCCCCCACCGGCATTGGTAACCCAGGGCAAAGCTGATCTCTATTCTGCCACCTAAACCATTTAGGCTTCTGCTCTATGGAGTCCAGACCCTGGAAAGGCTCTTTACTGGGTGCCCCTGCAGCCTCCAATCCACCCCTATCAACCACACCTGGTCTTCTGGTATAAAACTAGGGGAAAACCCCCGAAAAACCCAACACAAGCAACCACTTTAACTCAAAGTCCCATCCCCCCCACCCCCAATCATTATAATCCTATACAGCCACCTTTCTATTCTCTAGCTCCCTCAGCCTTAGGAGTACCTGCCATGGCTTGAAGCTCACTCTCCCTACCAGTTTAAGCTAGCAGGATATTCTCTCAGCAGGGTTCTATGTTTCTCTGTCTCAGTAACCCAGATTTATATTCACTGGGCTCCTTCCCCTTCCAATCAGGTGTTATTTTGACCAGCTGCAGGTGTGTTCCCATACTTTAATTGGCAGCTTATTACCTGAGCTGTTCCCTTGCCACCTTCCCTCTTGCAACTAAACTCTGTTCAACTTCCTGGGGCCCTTTCTGCTGCAGTCTCTCCCTTAAAGTAACAAGAGCCCCAGGCTCCCTGTTACAATCATTAAAACTATTTTTTGGGTTGGCAATCCTGCTCAACTACTGTAATGATTTTATGCTATGCTCCCCTAGCATCCCCTTTTTACCTCCAGACCCTGATACCACACCCTGCAACATGCTGCACTCCTCCAGCCTATGTCCCAGCCTTACCCTTGCTGTCCCTGCCCAGTAACATCCCAGCATAGACCCCCCTCCAATGGAAAGCTATTGTCTGCCTACCTGTGAGATGAGGAGTGTTATAGGCAAAAGGAATGAAGCATCAACAGCAGAAGGCTTGGGAGGAGAGGCAGGGAGCTATGAAGAGTCCTCGGAGCTAGAAAACCCTGAAAAGAGCTCACTTCAGGGTGTTGCACTCCCTCTCAGACACCAAGTGGCATTACTGTGCTCAATTTGTCCTTCAACCATACCTCCAGCTTCTTTCCAGCCAAGGAGCCTTACTGAAGCTCTGGTGGCTTTCTGTTTTTTACAGACAGCTTAATTTTCTTGCAACATTTACAGACGGGTATTTTTACATTTGATTTTGACAAAGTGGTCATAAATGTACAGCCGGTTGGCAACATTGTTGTGAGGTACTCAGACATTACAGTGATGACAGCAATTCAAAACCTGTCTACATATCAGTTATTATAGGACCTTAGTTTGTTGAACAAAGAGAAGTTACAAGGTTTGTATACTACCACAAGCATAGTATTTTCTTTTTCTGCATAGATGCATCCTGAAGAAGGCCAGTTTAAATCATTAACTTAAACTGTTGCTAAATTCTGTCCTGACCATGAATTTAACACTACAAAACCCTTTTGTTCTATTTGCAATCCAAGCTCTGCCGTTATCATCAGTTATTCATCTTGGGCTAGTTTTTACCACCCTTAGTTGAACTAAGAAATGCTTTCTTATGTGAGCAGTCCCACTGAAATAAAAGGGTTCACTTTTGAGGTAATATGCCAACCAGTGCTGACTATTCATAGATTTACATAGGTGGTTACCTGGCCATAGGCTTCAGTGAAACTACTTATAGTATGCAAAGTTAAGTACATCCTCAAAACTTTGCAGTATTGAGGCCCAACAGCTCTTGGTGGCAGACACTGGCCTATGTAACTAGAGTTCATCTCGGGGTGTGCTGCACCTTCAAATTTTTTGTTCTTCCAGAAACTT